TCTTTTTAACCAAACAAATACATATTTCAAATCAAACAATAAAGATCAAAACAATATATACCATTATGGTCGACTCCAAGCCGACCTATTCATCCCACGTCATACCTTCACAAAAATTGTACGCCTTCGGTTAAGACACACCAACTTAACCCATAGCCATCTTTTTACTCGCCCTCACACAATACCCTCTTGCCCCCTATGCAACAACGAAATAAGAACACCTCGACACATCCTAATAGAATGTTCCTATCTCGATTCCACAAGATCGTCTTTTTTCACTTCCACAAACTCCTTACAATCCTTACAATAAAAAAATTATAAAATTCCTTAGCTCTAATAATATAATTATTGAAATTCAAAAAGCTTGTAAGCTTATAGATAAATGATGTTAGGAAATGAAACTTGAAATTTTGAATCTAGTTTTTAAGCTTAAAACCACGTAGCTATAGCTTAATTAAAGTTCGCCTGTAAATATTAACATTATAGTCGAACATTTTATAATAATAATAAAGCTAAGATAACCTAAATAACCGAAAAATTGGTTATTTTTGATGGCTATCGTTGACTTAGCCAACCCAACCAAGGATGCCCGTAGGATTCTGCAAGGGCACCACCCATTCTCGGGCGGCCGGAGCCGCTCTTTGCGAACACGACAGCTCTATCTCCCCCACAGGGACAACTCACTCGCACATTTCGGTTTTTTTCGGACATTTAATAATCATTTACATTTGTTCTCCTATTAACTGATTTATCTTTCCTCAGCCTTTAAGATCAAAACTTGTCTGCCGCCTTCAATTTTATGCGGTCATTGCTCGTCCATCGCCCATAACTTGGCTTCACGAATTCATCAAACACATTTCCAAAGCAACTCTCGTCCATCGCCAATCACATGAGTTCACAAGTTCATCAAACACATTTCTAAATCAAGTCTCGTCCATCGCCAATCACATGGCTTCACGAACACTCTCTTTTTCAACGTGCTTTTCCAACTGACTTTGTTCTTTTTAATATATATCAAGCTCTTCTGGAATTTGCACATCCGGTAACTTTCGCAAACTTTCGTGTGGGTATTTGTAACGCCTATTGTTCTATGTAGACTTTAAAACTTATCGGTCTCCGTCCAATACCTCGACCACCAAAAAGGGTCCTCTGAACTTTGGATCTAATTTCGTTTGCTGTCTCTCGCTGTTTTTAAGCATTACAAAGTCACCCACACAGAACCTTGTTACTTTAGCCATATTTTTATCAAATTTTGTCTTCTCATATCTAGCGGCATCCTCCATGTTCTTAGCGGCCAACTCCCTTGATTTAATCTTGTCAATTTCATCTTCGGTATCACTAATATGTATCAAACCCAGTGGTACCAATCAAAAGTTCTAAAGGACTACACTTAGTGCTACGATTAACGGTACAGTTAAAAGCTAACAGTACATTCCCAGTGCATCCAGATCTAGAGCTTGTCTCAACAGCCGTCAACAGATTCTTCAGTGTACTCATGACCCTTTCAACTTGACCGTTGGCTCGACTTGCGCCCGTTCCAATTAGATGTAGATGAAGCTGCACCCCTGATCGCCAATTAATCGTGTTGGCACGCCAAAAATGGCAATCGAAGATTTCATTGCGTTTATACAAGTATAAGCATCCAAGAAAAAGGTGTGAAATAGATAAACGTATTTTGTAAAAGCGTCGATTTGTACAATAATATATTCTTTACGATCACTTAGTCCGCTCAATTTTTCCGATATATCTATGTGAACAGTGTGCCAAGGAATGCTTATTTTTGGAAATGGGTGTAGTTCCATTTGAGATTTTCCTGACGTACTTTTAGAAGCTCTGCATGCCATGCAGTTCTCCACAAATCTTCGTACATATTTTGCCATACCCGAAAACCAGTGTTTTCTCCCAACCTATATGCATGATAGACTCATGTACCTGATTTATAACTGACCAGCGAAAATTACGAGGCACTACAGGTAAACAACGAGTTCTTGAATTCCTCTGAATCGTTCTATACAAGACATTTTATGTAATTTCATAAGTGGCAACTAATGCCAATGCTAAATCGTCATTCTATAACTTAGTTAAGATTTCTGATATTTCTGGATCCTTTTGTTGTTCTACCAGTATCCAGTTCTCCGATATTTTTGTTAAGTCAATTCGTTTTTCTTCTATTTTATTTGGTACTGACTTATTCTTTAGACACACCGGGTTCCTAGATAGAAGGTCCACGTGTGCCATACGTTTACCTTCTCTGTATTCAATTTCGAATCCAAATGTTTGTAGAAACTCCCACCAACGATAAATCGTAGGTGCCAACTTGACTATATTTCGAGAAGATTTAATTGAATTACTGTCAGTAAAAATCACGAATTTTCTAGCATGCAGATAATGACGAAAATGTTTTACAGCATTCACGACAGCCAACGTTTCCAATTCATATGATGTATATCTAGACTCACAGGGGCTAGACGCTCTACTAAAGTATTTAACCAAATGAGGCTTAGAGTTTATGCGGTGCAAAAGGATAGCACCATACCCGATAGAGCTGGCGTCGGTATGCAGTTCTATCGGAAATCGAGGATCAAAAATAATCAAGACAGGATTGCTTATTAATACACTTATGATTTTACTGCGAATTTGTTCATGTTGTGTTTGCCAATCAAAACTATTCTCTTCAGATGTGAGAATACAAAAAGGCTTCATCAGTTGAGAAAACCGCGGAATGAATTGACGGAAATATGACGCTAACCCAATGAGCTGTCTTAGAGAAGCAACTGACTTCGGTGTAGGCAACGCCACTAGTGATTCCATTTTGTTAAGACTTGGACGTATCTCCCCCGCTTGTATCTCATAGCCAAGGTAGCGAACTGTAGTTTTCAAGAAAAGGCACTTTCAAATGTTAAAAGAGAATCCCGCCTTCACTAAAACGTCTAATACAAGTTTCAAACGCTCATACGCTTCATTCTTCGTTTCTGAAACAATTATTATATATCGTCCATATAAACAATTACAACCGAATGAGCAAGACTGCCGAGTGTCTTTACTACAGCTCTCTGAAATACAGAAGGTGCGTTTTTTAATCCAAAAGTCATCGCAAGAAATTCGTACTGCCCATCAGGGGTAACAAGAGCAGTGTATTCGATTGATTCAGGGTGGATTGAAATCTGATAATACCCGCTAGCCATGTCAAGAGAAGTGAAATATTTAGCTCTCCTAAGTCTAGCTATTTGATCTGATATTAACGGTAATGGAAACTTATCAGCTGCGGTATTTTTATTTAATTCTCTATAATCAACACAAACTCTTTCTAAGCCGTTTTTCTTCTTTCCTAATAATGCAGGACTAGCAAATGGTGAGTGACTAGGCCTGATAACTTTATATTCGATCAATTCTTTAATTCCCGTTCGCTTGGACTAAGCCTGTATGGCCGCCTTTGCACAGTCTTAGTCGATTCAATCAAACGAACACGCAATTCCCCAGTACTCACACGCGTTTCTGGAGTGCCTTCGATAAAAGCTTTAGAATATTGCTTCAGCAATGATATTAACATTTCTTTTTCTTTTTCGACCATTTTAGTTTCAATCTTATCAAAATTAGTAGGTTGAGCGGTTTCACAAATGTTTACAACTTTAGTTTGAACAATTTTTAAATTTTCATAGGATACTTCTACTAAAAACCCGTGAGCCAATATTTCTCTGCCGATTACAATATTATTTTTCATACATTCGTCTGGTACTATATGCATCAAAACAACTAAGGAATTGCCATCAATCATAATGTTTGGTTCAACTTGTGCGTTACTGTAAGTATTGGCATTACCTACCCCCTTTAAAGAAATAACGCTATGAATCCTCTTACCAACTAACTTATTAGAAACGTTTTCCTTAATTAATGAGCACTCAGCTCCCGAATCAAAGGTAATTAGAAATCTCTCACCATTGACCAGCCTTCTCGATTGTGGCTCCACTATAGCGCATAGCTCCACTCTTTTTTCCGTTCTTACTCCCAATCCGGTATTCTGCACTTTTTTTGACAATTAGTGGCTATGTATCTCGGCTCCTGACATCTGTAGCACGTTACGTTTGTCCTTCCATGACTGGACTACCCTGACCGCCACTCCTTTCCAGTTGCCGAAACCTGGGATCCAGATCTACAGTCTTGCTTTTTGAGGCCTAGTTTTCCACACTGGTAACATTTGATTTCTCCAGTTCTAGCTCGCTTCGTTTCTGGTTCCCAGTTTGATACATTAGGGCGCTCTTTTAGCGCTGATCATTCGCTGCAAACGCCGGTCGAATTTAGCCATGTGCCCAAGAACCAGCGCGACGGAAATTTGTTTAGAATTCTTATTACGCAATTTTGTGCAAAGTGACGCCAAGTTATTCCTGGGTAGCATATTTGAGACAACCATTGCTCCGCTGTGCCTTCCAAAGCTTTACTTAACGCCGTGTCACTTAATAATTTTCCTCGTAAGATGATGTCGACCGTAGCGCACCACTGTGTGGCATCCACGCCAGCAACGTCCGGATTATATTTTGGCAGGCAAATCTCGCTAGTGTGTTGCAACTCACTCGCCGGCATCTATAGCCTCTTAACCAGATCCAGAAAGTTCGGGTTTTGTTGTTCTAACAGCGCGAAGACATCCCTCGAAGAAGTTTGGTTAGGGCCGAATCCCACTTCTGATGTCGGAAAATTTAAGCCTTCTCCATGCAGGTTCTCATTAGTCGCTTGATCGATTGCTTGTTATTGTTCCATATAGTGTTCTGGCTTATGCAGAGAGTCTTCGTTGCCTTTGTTGCTCATAATAATAAACCTTTTAGCAGTGCTCAACTGTACACCAAGCTATAGCTCAAGACGAAAAAAAGAAGAGCGACCAGACCTAGCAACGCAACGAAGCCGCACACATCCTCAGTTCGCAAACTTAGTCCCCATCATACCAGAACTGGTATATACCAGCACGACCCATGGCCACCTTAAAGTCTCATGCCTAACGAAAGACTGAATTACCTTCTCTCCGACATATCTTTATTTTTCCCAAAATGCGTTACGCTAACTAATTGCCAAAAAATTTCTACAAGTGTATGTTAGTGAAGTTTTGTGTGGTTAATGTTTATGTTATCAATCATTAATTTGCTAATATCGCCGTTTGCTGTGTTGTGTAATGTTTGTTTTCTGTTGAGAAATTGACGTTATGTTGCAATTGGAGTCGAGTGGGAGCGACGTTATCGATAGTTTAGGTCGATAGGGCGATAGCTGCAGCAGCGGGATGAGTCTGGCGGGCGATCTGGCCATTTGAAGATTAATCCCGGTTCGCTCTGGGATTACTTCAAATGGCCCATGTATCCAATGACCCAATGTCGAGAGAGGCCATGTAATATGGCGGGGGGCGATGATCAGCAGATATCGTGATAGTGGCGGCCATACTGTCCAGCAATCAAGGCAGATGCAGTTAGGAGTGCTAGTATAAATTTTCTTTGTGCCTTAAATTAAATAGCAGCCGGGGTCCCAATACAAAGGGCCCCGGAAGAATTTATTTGGATTTTACGAACATCGCCATACTTCGCTATACCTACCAGCCCGACTTGGCTGCCCAGCAACCGGTGTCCGTTCGACCCGTGCCAGCGACCAGCCAGGAAAGCCTTCCACAATCGACGCCGACGACGTCAACATTTCCCGGTGAGTCCGTTCCGGCGTACCGCGTCCTCCTCCTCTCGGGAACTTCCAGCGGTCGCATTGCGGCGCTGAGAAGTATCTCCATTTTGTCTGGCAGCCGAATCTCGGACTGCCCGTGCACCACTCACCGGACAGCCCCGTTTTCCCGTGTGGAGATCCGTATCGCTGCTGGCCTCCGGCGAAAAGTCATCAGCCCGGGCAATCATCGCCTCCAGGCCGGCCCGACGGTGGCTGAAATTTACGAGAAATTAAATACACGTATACCTCGATTATATATATTGATATCTACTCACCTGTTTGTGAGTTTATCCGGAGTTAGACCCGAGAGCCTTATTTGTCCTCGTTGTTTAAATTAAAAAGGTCGCGAGCATTAGTTAAATGGTATAGATTACAGTGCAGTTACGTACCTTTTTGGCCTGTCCCTTCTTTTCCCCTGGAGCTCCTCAGGATTAGGTGACCATACACACGCGCATCGCGCATATTCCTTTGAGGGCCGCGTTTCCATGCGAGCTCTACCAATACATGGCTGGTAGAGCATAGTTTCCGCGGCGCCTGTACCCTTTTCCAGCAAAACGAATCCTCTGCTTTGACCGCGTAAATATCCGAGACGACGGCCAGGTTTCGGTCTTGAAGGGTGAGGAAGGATAAATCTGTCAAAAGAAGCATGTATATATACGATTGTACTTATGATATTTATTAAACCTTTGTAATACCCACTATGTGTGAATAAGCTTACCCAGTGGGGGAGATGGAACCGTAGCCGTAGTCGCGAGGAGGGGGCTCCTGCCGACTGCGAATGGGTGGTGCCCTGCAGCATCTTGAGGGCATCCATGGTTGGGTGGGAGCGCTTGGCTAGGTCACCGATAGCCACCAAATGTAATTCATTTTCCCGTCAATATTTGTAGATTTTTGCTTTGTTTACGTTTTGTCCTTAGTGATGACCGATAGATTAGTAAAGTGAGACCGCGAAGTTATCGATACTTATGTTGCGAGCTGTGGCATTAGGGGTACTCTGCCCTGAAGACGACTGAGCTAGCGGCACTGCCACCGAAAAAAGCAGTTCGTAACATATTGGCGCCCAAATTAAACAAAATAAATTGTCGAGGCGACGACGTCTCGCACATTTATGACCCTGACGCCCCCGCCATCACGACCTATGGCTTGCAACATAGATTGCAATTGCTAGGGAGTGGTGACGGGGAAGTCAGCTGTGTAGGGAAGTTGGAAGTAGAACGGGAGGCACGTCGACATTGCCGACGATTTGCTCCTGGTCACAGGTTTGCCAGTGAACCGGTGATGGCATCTTGGGGCAAACCAAGATTTGCATCACGGGATGCACTGAAGAGAATCTGTGATAATTTCTGTGATAGAGTAGTTTTAAGGCTTATATTTTGTTATTTATTTATTTGAAATGTTTTTTTTGTTAGGATGTGGTGTTCCTGGGTTTTTCTCCCCGTCCTGGACTTCTAATTTTATGTCGGTTGTGAACTTAATTGCGTAATCGTGACCCGTAGCAACCCTACGCGCTGCACGGTTACCTCGATTTAAAATAGAAAAAGAGGGCGGGAAAGAAAAGCCAACAGGAGCCAAACCGAGCCGATGTCCTTAACTGGCGGCTATCACCACGGGTGATAGCTTGTCCAGTTGACGAACGGCTAGGCGGAGACGGGAAAATCGGATTTTTGGAGAAAGCGCAAGACAAGTAGGTCGGAAGCCCACCGGCGAGGGTCAGTTCCATCTCCCCGAGTCCAGAGTAGTAGGAAGAAAAAAAATAATACAAGAAAATAGGAGATTTGGAAAGGTGTTGGAAAGTGAGGAAGATTGGTTTATTGTTATTTATTTTTGCTATTAGTTATTTTCGTATTTATTTTCTTATTTATTATATTATGTATTATTGAATTTATTTGTTGTCTTATTTATTTATTTATTTATCATATTTATTATCGTATTAGTAGTTCTTAAGTATTTATTTCAAATTTCTTGGGAAGTATGTCCGAGGGTAAGGACGTCAGGGAGAGGCACGGCCACCAGCTTAGGTCGATGGGTCCTCCTGGCGACGACAAGGACGTTGTCTGGTCCACGGATGTAGAGGGTGCTTCTGGGTTGCCGCGGATATCGCTGTCTGGGGGGTTACCCAGAACGCCGGTAGGCGGTAGTGCGGTGGATCGGATTCGGGATCAACCGGCGGATCTGGAGCACCATCGGTCGCCCAGGGTCCTGGATTTTAAAGCTATCGTCGAGGCGCAGGATCGACTTCTGGTTCCGGAGCAGACGGCACCACAAAAGCTGAACACGGAACGGGATACAGCGGCGGAGTCGGCGATGAACGCAGCTCTGGCACAGGCTGCCCAAACCTATCGCGCGTCACAGGAGGTAGGAGTGAGCCAGGCGTTGCGGGAAGAAATAAAGAACGGATTCATCGACATGCTGAAGTTGTTGAACGACGTCCTGAGGCCAGCCGAGAGCAAACCGCAGCAGCTTCAGGAGGGCGCGAGTCACCAAGTGTCGATGGTGCCCACCCCGTCGTGTCCAGTAGGCGGCGCAAATGGCCCAGCGGGGATTCAGCAGCGGCCGGATACAGGAGGATGCGACCGAAGGCCGCCGGAATTGCCGCCCAGGCAGCGACCTCGACTGCCGGTAAATGACTCTCCAGGGATTGACAGCAGCCTGAGCCAGGAACCCGAGTATCATCCGACAGGCAGGAGCGATCGCCACGCACGGCCATGGCGCATCGAGGACCGAAGGACGGCGGATTTTCGGGACGAACCGCGGTTATACGCCAACGCGGGAGCCGGCAACGGAAACCGCTACATCCGAGTGGACCGCTGGAACCTCTCATTCGGCGGCGAGGACGAAGGCCATTCCGTGGACGACTTCGTGTTCCGTCTGGAGTTCCTGCAGCGGCAGCATCAGGGTCCGTGGAGTGAAGTTCTGCGCAACTTCCACGTACTCTTATCGGGCAGAGCGAAGGAAAAGGTACTGGGTACATGTACGCCAGTCCAGAGTGGACACTTGGGCCCAGCTGCGCAGGGCTCTGATGGATCGGTTCCGTGACCACCAGACGGAACACGAAAGGATGCACGAGCTTCTTCAACGTGAGCAACAGCCGGGAGAGAGCGCGGATGATTACATCCATTCGATTCAGCAACTCGCCTCACGCCTAAAAAAACCAATGCCAGAGCGGCAGTTGGTTAAGGTGGTGAAAAAGGGCTTGAGGGATGGCATCGCTAGATATGTTTACGCGATGGACGTACTCACGGTGGACGAACTTCGCGAAGAGTGCGTCGAAGTGGAGAGGAGTTTCGGTCGTCGAGGGCGTGCTGCTTACCTGCAGCAGAACAAGTTGCGGGTCAGCGGGGCGCACGTACAGGACGAAGTCGACGAGCACCGACACCTGGAGGTGGACGAGCTACGCGGGCGAGTTCGAAATACATTTAGGCCAGGTTGCTGGAATTGCGGGGCGGCGGAGCACGGATTCTAAGATTGCGAGGCCACGGAGTGGAGGAGATTTTGTTTCCGGTGCGGCAAGCCGGGCGTCATTTCTCCGAAATGTCCCGATTGCGCGGAAAACGGTCGGCTGGGCAGTCCGACAGCGGGAGGGACTCGCCCAGGTTGGAATCCCGCGAAGTAGTTCCGAAGAAAGAAGAAGAAGAAAAGAAAGTACATAGTCTATCTAATAGTAATAAGTTTTTATTAAGATACCTACCGGAGGATGAGAGGCTTCGCCGTTATATGGTGGCACGGAACCGGATCTTTGCGGAGCATCAGCTGAGCGGCATGCGTCTAGTCTCACGGAGAGTCCAGAAGGCAAGGGAGCGCTTCAGGATGAGGAGATCCAGACGACGAGAGGTGGTGGCGGCCGTCAAGCGCATTGATTCCGCTGATCCTCGACCCTTCGCCGACGTGGAGACCTTGGGCAAGCAGCTCACCGGCTTGTTGGATACAGGCGCCAGCGTAAGTGTGCTGGGCAAAGGCTGTCGAGAGCTCGTGGAAGCGCTGGGAGTTACCGTCCAACCGTATTTTTCGGTAGTCCGTACAGCTTCTGGCGAAGATCGATCCATCATCGGACGCTTGGAGCTGCCTGTGAGGTACAAAGGCGTAAGTAAGCCGGTCACGTTCTACCTGTGCCCATACCTGGAACAAACGGCGTACTTCGGAGTCGACTTCTGGCGAGTCTTCGGACTAGCTCCAGCCGTCGTGGGGAAGCCGGCGACGAGAGGCGTCAAGGCAGCGGAGGAAATCCATGCCAGCCAGATGGAGCACTATGCCGACCAGGAAGATGAGGACGAGGTAAGGGAGGAACCCGAATCCTGGAGCCTTTCTGCGGAGGAAAAGCTGGCGTTAAGCAAGGTCAAGGAGGAGTTCCTTACCTTCGAAAGGGACGGCCTCGGAGTCACCAGCATGGAGAGGCATTCCATTGAGCTGATGGAAGGAGCTCGGGTATTTAAGGATCGTCCGTATCCGATGTCTCCGGCGAAGCAGAAGGTGGTCGAAGACGAAATCGACAAGATGTTGGAGCTGGGTGTCATCGAGGAGAGCAAAAGCCCGTGGAGCAATCGCACAACAGTGGTGTCGAAGCCAGGGAAAGACCGGTTCTGCCTGGATGCCCGGAAGTTGAACGCCTTGACTATCAAGGATGCATACCCTCTGCCCAGTATAGAAGGAATCCTCTCCAGAATAGATCAGACGCATTACATCTCCAGCGTTGACCTGAAGTTTGCGTTTTGGCAGATCGAACTGGATGAGAAAAGCAAGGAGTATACTGCGTTCACGGTTCCAGGCAGGCCGTTGTACCAGTTCCGAATGATGCCGTTCGGGCTGTGCAGCGCGGCCCAACGCTTGGTACGGCTTATGGATCGGGTGATACCAGCGAAGCTCAGATCCAACGTCTTCGTCTACTTGGACGACCTGCTAATCCTGGCTCCAGATTTTCAGACGCACCTGAAATATTTGCGTCGAGTAGCCCACAGTCTGAAACCAGCCGGATTGACCATAGGGTTAAAGAAGTCGAAGTTTTGCTTCAAATCTTTGACTTACCTAGGGTTTATATTCGGAGGTGGACTGCTGCGGATGGATACTGGACGTGTTACGGCAATCCAGAAGATGCCTTACCCGAAATCCATGAAGGAAGTACGTGCCTTCCTCGGAACAGCGGGATGGTATCGACGGTTCGTCAAGAACTTCGCTACGCTAGCCGCACCACTCTCCGAGTCCTTGAAGAAGGATGGAAACACAAAGTTTTCCTTAAGTCCCAGCGCTACCCAGGCAGTGGATGACCTGAAGTTGGCCTTGACGAGCGCGCCGGTCCTGGTTCATGCGGATTTCAAGAAGCATTTCTTCATCCAGTGCGACGCATCCCACGTTGGCGTCGGCGCGGTATTGTTTCAGCGGAACCAGGACGGAGACGAGCAGCCCATCGCGTTCTTCTCGGCCAAGATGAACAAACACCATGTTAACTACTCGGTCACGGAAAAGGAATGTCTGGCGGCCATCCTAGCTATTCGGAAGTTCAGACCGTATGTGGAAGGGATGCCCTTTACATGCATTACCGATCAAGCCAGCCTTAAGTGGTTGATGACCATGAAGGATCTATCCGGACGACTCGCAAGGTGGTCTCTCCAGCTGCAGGGCTACGATTTCAGCATTGAACATCGTAAAGGCAGCGAGAACGTAGTCGCTGACACTCTGTCCCACATCATAGAGGAAGTCCGGATAGATCCAACGGAGTTACTGGGATTCGAGACGACCGAATTTGCTGAGAAGGATTATACGGAGTTAGTGCAAGACGTGGAGTCCAACAGGGAGCACATACCGGACCTCAAGGTGGACGGCGGACTCATCTTCAAGCGCATGAGTAACCCCAAAATGTACGAGGAATTGGAAGGATCCAAATGGAAGCTGTGGATTCCGCAAAGCCTGACGCACAGCTTGATAGAGCGTGCTCATTCGGACCCCAAGGCTGGCCATGGTGGGATGACGAAGACCTTGGAGATCCTGCGACGCCAGTTCTATTGGCCAGGGATGACCATCCAAGTACGGGAATACGTCCGGAGTTGCGAGGTGTGCAAGGAATCCAA